TGACCAAAGAAAACAATATTTTCTATTATATAAACATTAATGCGACCATGTGATGATATTGAAGCATTATTTAGTCATTCATATTTTCTTGGTCCATATATTTATGTCGTACCAGTTTTACAAGATCCAAAACCTGGTCAAACTCAACATTTATGGTTACCAAAAAGTTCAACAAATCAATGGATAAATTATTTTAATACATCAATTATACATAAATCTGATACATTTATTAAAGAAGATACAAGTAGTCTTTATCGTATACCAATTTATATTGAACAAAATTCTTTAATACCAATGTATGACATTGAAAAAAATTATTCTCTTAATGCATTCAAATTTGTTTTATGGGGTAAAATTATATCTGATAAACAACAAACAATATTATTTACACGTGATCGTCAACAATGGTTATTAGAATTTAATCGTTTGCAACGACAATTAACTGTACATTTCATTCAACAATATGATTCAAATGAAAAACATGAATGGATATGGAAATTTTGTCAATATGTTAATGAAAAAGAAATTTGTTCACATCAATGGTTATCACTTTATGATAAAGCTTCTGTTCAACTTGAAGTTTTAGTTTAAAATTAATAAATAAATACCTGAAAATATTACACAATTCTTCATTCCAACTTGGATTAAGTTCATCATTGCAATTGAATTTCAACATAATAAGGTCGAACTAATGTTTATATAATAGAAAATATTTTTTTCTTTCGGAATAAATTTTTTATTCGAAATTTTACATCCGAAAATAGTTAGTATAAAATACCTGGATGTAAGTGGAGTGTGGGTGTTTCTTTATGTAATAGGAAACTCACACCACACCCATCCTTCATTGATGATAAAATAATTTTGATTTTGTGTTTATGCTTATCTAAGAGTAAGAGTCATAATAATATCTATCTTATTATTTCATCAGTTACATTGTAGATGGGGAGGCGGAGCGATAGTCGCCTATTATATCCCTCAAAAAATCATTCTTTCGGTAGTCTCGGTAGCCAACTTTAGTTTTAGTTAATTGTTGCCCAAAACATCGTTAGTAGGCTAGTTTATTTCATTTATTCCACAGACATAAAATGAGACAGAAGCAGATAATGTCCTTTGAAAAAAAGGAGACACAACTGTTGGAAAGAGCGTCCTTGAAACCATACAGTAAGCAAACTCTAACACCTTTATACAATGTTCAATAGTATTCTTTTGTAAAGTGTATAAAGAAGAAATGTGGCAAGAAAAACCGAAAGAAACAGCTACATACACTTGACCATTTTTTGTTAGAAGACGAATCAAATAACATGTTTAACAAGCATATGCATAAGCAAAAGAAAAATGTAATAAAATAATTATATATTAACTATGCAACAGAGACACTGATGTAGTATGATACTTAATCAGATTTATATTGCTGTCAACTGACAAAAGGTGAAAATTGATTCTACCATTTCTTTAGTAGTTGCTGAGTCAGAAGTACCCAATGATTGATCAACTGTAACACGAATCATCAGTCTTCTTACCATTTTTCGAATTGTAAGACTTCAAACTATCTCAATGATTGCAAAAAGAATGAAACAATATCATTTTGGATTGTTTTTGAAGAAAAATTTGTATAACCTTTTAGTAAAATTTCCTGCAGGAAAATATACCAAAAGACATACTGTAATTAAAGCAACAACATATCTGAAATACAGGTTGACAGTTCTTACTTTCATAATACTTTCTTCCAAAATACTAAAATTCATAACCGAAAAACTGCATCCTTACTTTCCTCTGATTTAATCTCATTCTCACGAAAAAATACCATCCAAAAAATAATGGAAATAGCCTACTTTGTAGAGAAAACAAATATCTATCATTTGAGATGTTCTGTGACCTTCAAACTACCCAGTAACAGAGCTGAAACTAACAAAATATGATCAAAATTGAAAAGTCGATTTTTTAAAGTATGATCTCATAAAAAACTTTTGTAAACTTTCGAATGAAATAATCAAATTTAAAATCTAAAATTTTTGTCACAACCGATACGATAGCTCGGAAACCTGCTTTTCAGTTTTGAGGATAGATTTCTGTTGATTTTAGTTTTTTTTTGATCATTCAATAAAA